TATTCAGGACTAGTTTAAGAGCAACTAGCTGATGTTGTAGTTTGTTGGAATCACCCTGGAGCTTAGTAATCACGTCATCCGGAGAGCGGCCAGCAGTAATCAGTATCGTGTCATCTGCAAAAAGATTTACCCTGGAATGATCCAGGTCAGTGCCCGAGTCATTGACATAAAGAGAGAACAAAAGGGGGCCGAGGATGGAACCCTGTGGAACCCCTTTTGTTATCTTAACACTGTCTGACCTCCAACCATCTGTGAATACAGTTTGGGTGCGAGAAAAGAGGAAATTTTTTAACCATTTTACTGTGTTTTTGGAAAAACCGAGGCAACTTAGTTTACCAAGCAGGGTGTTGTGGTCTACTGTATCAAAAGCTTTGGACAGGTCTAGAAAAAGACAGGCACAGTACTGCTTATTATGAAGGCTACTGTAAATGTGATTCAGAGAGTCTAATGCAGCAGATGTGGTGCTGTATTTTTTTTGGAACCCAGATTGTTTTAGATGTAGTAGATTGTTGGTGGACAGGAAACTGCTAATTTGGTAGGTCAATAATTTTTCAAAAATTTTAATCAACGGGGACAAAATTGAGATAGGTCGGTAGTAATTTGGATCATCTTTAGGGCCCCCTTTGTGAAGTGGGCGGACACAGGGTCTCTGGGGAGGTCTGGACCATGTACCCAAAGCAGCCATTGCAGCTGCATGAGCCATAGTCCTATACCTCGCCCATTTCCCCTCGACATCAGGAGGAGTGGGGGACGATGCCATCCCCAGCCGCAAGCGATGATGAAATTCTCGCTTGCAACTGTCATCAGCTAGCTGAGACCAGGCCACTATGGGTTTGAATGGGGTTCTGGGTGTACACCCACCACCGGAGTGGAAGAATGGCAGGCGCATCTTACAGATGACAAGTCGATGGTCAGTGGGCAGATCAGCTCCACGGTAGGTCCTGCTGTCAAGGACATGGGCCCGCATCCACTGTTCTGTCACTATGTAGTCCAGTAGATGTTCTTGCTTGGACCCGGCATGCATCCATGATCTTGTGTGGATGCGCTGATGCTGGAACAGCGTGTTGGTAATTACAAGCCCATGGGCTGCACAAAAATCTAGCAGCCTCCTACCGTTGTTATTGAGCTGATCTGGCCCATGTCTTCCAATAACTCCAGACCAGGTGCTAGCATCATGACCAACTCGGGCATTGAAGTCACCCAACAAGATGACTCTATCCCGAGGGGCCACTTTAGCCAGCACCTGTGACAGGAGATCAAACAAGGCATCTGATTCATCGGCCTTGCCTGCTCACATCACGGATGTTCGTCCTCGGTGGGGGCATAAGTAACCACGACCACCACTCCTCGCCTCCGGTTGATGGGAAGGCGAGCCCAAAGTAGCCTGGCGCTTACAGCTTCCCACACCTCACCGCCACGCTCCCACGCTCCCACGCTCCCTTCATTCTTTTATTCAGAAGAGCCACTCCCTGTTGTTTGGCAGTCTGATGCCCCGAGTAGAGGACTGTCCACCTCTCATGGTGGCAGGAGCCAGAGCCGGTCCACCGGACCTCCTGAATGCCGCAGAGATCCAGGCGGTACCGGTCCAGCTCCCGACAGAGGAGTGGCAGCCTCTCCTCCGCAGTGAGCGTTCGGACATTCAACGTGGCCATCCGAAGTGGCTTTTTGTGTTTTCTGGAGGAGCCCCGAGGGTAGAGATTCAATCTCCTGGCTCCGCCAAATGGGGTTTGACCAGGAGACGTCATAGACGCCTGTCCCTCCGGGGCCTCCGGCACAAGCTTAATTAAAGTTTTTTACCCGTCCAGAGCCCCCATTTGGCCGCTGTGGTGGTTACAAACACCATGAGGAGAAAGGCCGATTTAAATTGGCCCTCCCTCCCACGGCACTGCCCACCACAGTGCTGCCGTCCGGCACCACGAGGAGGTTGTTTTTGCCGGACACACATACACGCTCACACAGGCGTACACACGCTCACACAGGCGTACACAATCACACAGGCGTACACACACACGCGTACACGCACACACGCACGCGTACACGCACACACGTACACGCACACACGTACACACTCACACAGGCGTACACACACACACGCACGCGTACACACTCACACAGGCGTACACACGCACACGTACACGCGTACACGCACACACGCACGCGTACACGCGCACAGACACGTACACACACACGTACACGCACGCACACACACACGTACACACACACGTACACACACACACACGTACACACACACGTACACACACACGCACGTACACACACGTACACACGTACACACAAACGTACACACACACGTACACACACACGTACACACACACACGTACACACCCACACGTACACACACACACACGTACACACACACGTACACACACACACACGTACACACACGCACGTACACACGCACGTACACACACACGTACACACACACATGTACACACACACGTACACACACGCACGTACACACACACACGTACACACACACACG